AGGGCCAGTGCAGCAGTGATAGGGGGAGAAGCAGGCCTGATGGGGAGGGGGGATAATGGGCCTGGCCCAACATGGCAGCAGTGGGGGGAGGGAAGAAACGGGCCTCCCTCCCATCCTGGCCAGGGCCCACTCCTCTTTCCCCCCCACCAATCCCCTGTGTCAGCCTCAAGCCCGCTCCTCCCATCCCCCTGCCACTGCCAGGTCAGCCCAGGCCCGCTGTGGTGGGGAGGGGGGAGCAGGCCTGGATGGGAGAGGGCACAGGGCTCCATCCCTGCTTGCTTCTGCCTCCTCCATCATTCTTGACAGGCAATTGGCTAGTTTTCCTCATAAAAGCCAGTTACAGACCTGCCAGGACTAAAATTTCCTTTGTTCCTTTTCCTATTTTTAAGGCTTCAAATGGAATTAGACTTACCAGAGATTCAGATGAAGGTTTTCAGTAAGAACATGAGTCAGAAAATGTCTTTTCCTCCTTTTGTAAAATCCATTTCATGTTCAAGGAGCACAACAAAACAGAGGTTTCATACTCTGAAACACTCTCAGAAACTTAATGCTGTCCGCTTACGAACATCTGTAAGTGCAGTGTTCAGAATTGTGACATTCAGCCTTTGTTTCTCTCGCTCCTCTTTTTAAAAGGAAAGTAATATAGTATCCAGTCCTACAAACACTTACGGATATAAATAACTTCATGCACATGACCAATCTTGTATTACTTAACATTTGTCTGCAGGATTTAGTCCCTTGAATTTAAAAGCAAAGGTCCTATAGAAACTGTTTAAACAGATAATGGTAAGCACAGATTCCCTCTCGTACCAGTACTTTTCTGAATGCACATCATCACAATCAGCACCCTACCTGTTCAAGTATCGTGTCGCTTTGTGATGATACTAATTTAAGCCAAATTTCCTACACCTCTTTTCCTAATTTGGCTAATTGTTTAAATTGTCTAAAAATATCCATTTGTGTTGGAGTCAAAATTGTTTCCTTACATGAGCATATTACACTGTGCAATAGGCATCTATTGTGCTCTATTTATATTTCAGTTAAAAGTTGCTAAAAGAATTAGTTTGCATAGTCACCTACTCAGAAATTAGGAAACAGTAATATTAGTTCCCAGTGCAAATTGTTCAAGCCTAGAAAGCTGTTGTATTGAACTTCTAGTCTATATGTTTTCTAGCTTGTAATGGCCATGTTTCTTTTACCAGGTATTCCATGCAGGAAATGTACGAAGTTGTTGCTGGTGTGGAGGACTACAAACAGTTTGTTCCTTGGTGTAAAAAGTCAAACATATTATCCAAACGTTCTGGATACTGTAAAGCCCATCTAGAAATAGGCTTTCCTCCACTGGTAGAAAGATATACATCAGTTATCACTCTAGTGAAACCTCACCTGGTTAAGGTAACATTTTTTTTTTTTGCGGGCTTTGTGTTCCTAATATTTTGTTTTTTTATTTTTTAAATAAAATCAAGTCCTTAAGAGAGAACAGAAAATGGTGAATAAAAAAAAAAGTTAATTCTAAAGTTGCTTTGCGTGGCTCTATACTGTTGAGAATCTCTTTAAAATGGGAGCTAAAAACCAGAAAAAAAGCTTCTGTTTTGTGAGAAATAGCTTGCCATTATTGAGATAGACATACCAATTCCTGTTTTCTTCATTGTAAGGTATGCTAATTTGTATATATTATGTAAGCCTCTTTAAATAATCATATTGACTTACCCCTGTTTCTCTGAGCAGCGTGTATGATGCTTCAGACACTTCAGCAAGAACTGTGGCATCTGACACTCTTCTTACAGCATTCATGACTTAAATTATCTGGCCTGTCCGGGAAGGCTCAAACCAAAATGGAGGATTTTCCCTTTAATGGTGAAGGCTTGTTCAATAGCAAGACTGATGGGAAGATGAGACTAGGTCTGTTGTTATATCTCTAGCATTAATTTAGTCAGAAGAAAAAGAACTATACTTCATATTCTTTTAGGTTCCATAGGCAATAAGTTACTTCTTAATATTTATCCTTTTGAACAGAAGTTTAACTATTTCAGTAATATAAAAAGCAGAATAAGAGTTTAGTTTAGGCAGAGGTTTATCACTTGAGTGGCCTACTTGTTCTGCTTACCAGTACAGGCACTAATTTGACTGCTTGGGAACTTAAGGTGTGTTTCTGTGATACTCACTTTGCCTAATCTTTCACTTAAGAGATCATCTTGACCATATCTGTAGCAATTCCACTCCATGCTACAGAAAACTGATGATAAAATAATATTTTGGACATGCAATCCAATTCTACCCTTCCTCTTACCTATTCTTTGTTGGTATTTCTCTTGTGAAACACTGGTCAGAGCAAAAAAGGTTTTCTTATTATGCCTGGTGGAGGTATGTTGCAAGGCAGCACAGATGGGCCCTTACTCAAAATACACCTTCATGTTTGGAGTAAAAATAATCTTCTATTGTGGACCTGAGGAAGTCAAACACTTTCAGCAGAATGGTCAGGTTCCACATACTGACTGACCTCCATCCTGACTGGTTCTTGACCTAGAATATGCCTGCATTGACACAGCTCCCAGACTGACTTGCCAGCTACCTCTGTGCTTTATAGCTCACCTTTTTAAAAGGGCAAATCTAGCCTTGAAAAAGACTATAATACTTCTAAGATAGTGATGAGGGGTGAAGTCTTTTTCTTGGACTTAAGGACACTCCCATATTTGTTAGGCTTGTTTAAGGTAGGACTTCTCGTTAAAAATTTCCATTGTTCCATTCCACAGGGTCAGTGCCAGTAGCAGAGAGAACTGCTTGCTTGCTAAGTATTGTATTGTTATGATGATTAAAAGATCAGCAGTTAACCTAATAGGTAGCTACTCATGATGGGGTGGAAGTAGTAGTAGCAAAAGGAGGAAATATGAAGGAAAAACATCCCAGTTTGATGCATCTACTGCATCTAGAAGAACTTCAGTGGTAACATGCTGAACTTCAGGTTAAAGAAGGAACTGCATCATTCCTCTAGGAATTTCAAGCCAACTGCAAGTCTATCTTAAAGGAATTATCATTCAGTCCTACACTAGAAATGCAGCTTGGCCAAAGCAGTTTGGCATCAAATGGAAATAGGGCCCACAGCAAATTAACCTTCACATAAAGGTTATAAAGCTAATTAATTCCTTTATACTCTTTGGGGATTTAGATAAGGACTGTATAGTCAGACCCTAGCTCAACCATCTGGTTAATACTACGTGTGGGTAACTAAAGTCAAATATGTAAATTTGTGGCCAGATTCTGCTATTCTTATGTTGATGAATACCTTCATGAAATGCAGTCTTAGAGATTTGCAATAAAAGCAGTAATATGTAGGCTTTAAATGCATACCACATATGAGCACTCAAGTTTACAAAAGCTGATGACAGTTAAGATGTAATTCAACTTGGCCACTAGTATTGCCTTTGATGATAAACAGTATCTGAACACTGCTATTTATAATAAATAGTTGAGTGTCAGTGTATCTAACTTAACATAAAGGTTACATATTCATATGCTTTGTTTAAAAATAATTCTACTTTCTATACCTGCAAAGATATGGGACTCTTTCATCTGGGTTGTGAAAACTGTTGTGTGGCTTGTAGATGGAAGTATATACCACCCATCTTTCTCTAGACACAAGACAGACCTTGCAAAGAGGACTTGGATATGTTGTATAAAATTGTGTTAGTTCACCTGGACTTTAGTGCAGGAGTACATTTGAGCTATACCACAACCTTTTTAGTTAAATGTTAAAAAATTCATTTTCTTAATACCAGTTTCAGAAGGACACACTTACCTTTTATATCAAGTATATGAGAGTTGAGCTGTACCTTAACTTAAACTGTCTTCTAGGCATCCTGTACAGATGGGAAATTATTTAATCACTTGGAAACAGTATGGCGTTTCAGCCCTGGAATCCCTGGTTACCCAAGAACATGCATATTGGATTTTTCAGTAAGTACTGTAATTAAGCCCACTGTGTGGTATAAACAGGAAATGGAAACCTACTTTTAACCAGAGGAGGCTTGTGTTCCTCATAGCTACTGTTACTGAATAAAATTGCAAATGTTTATATTTCAACCCCCCAAACTTTAAATATTAATATTTGGGGTAAGTCTTATAGGCTTTACACATCAAAGTTTTCCTACAGAATTCTCTCAAGACACCTTCCTTCTACATTGCAACCATTAGCACAGGCAACTGGTGCTGCCTTATTCAGGGGAGGCACGTACCCCCCCTGCAGTCAATCTCGCCTCCCAGGGAGAGGGTCCCCTGTGGTTGATCTCGCTGCAGTGATCAGCCAGTGCTCTCGCACTCCCACCTGGCCCTCCTACCCATTACCTAAGCAGCAAGTGCCAGTCCAGGGGTGCACGGGTGCTCTCAGGGGGTGCATATGCCCCCCTGTGCATCCCCTATATGTCAACACTGACCATTAGCTCCCAACATAAACATTTCAGGCATTTGAGTGTTTTTCCTCAAGCTGCTAGCTGTTATTTGCTGGCCAAACAAATACACCTGGCCAGAATAGTAAATCAGCAACTCAAAATGTTACTGGATTAAACAACCTCCCACAATCAAATTATAAGCATCTCTGAGGGGACTTCACCAGTAGTTCTGTTCCTAAACTTTATAGATTTTGCTGTTAGGAAGAATCCACCTTATTTAGCTGAGACTTGTTTGTTTCTAATTTAATCTTTCTTTCTTATTGGTTACTATCTTAATTCTCTCTCCTTTGCACTGTTCCCTTGTCCTCTGTTGGTCGTCTCTTGGTCAGTACAAATACCCTGGCTGCTTCTGATGTTCTCAGCAAGACCTGTATTCTAACTAATTTGTTGTTCCAAAAACTAACTATTTGTGGTTACATCTCTCATGGTCCTGAGGTAGCCAGCAACAAGGAGGTTTGCTCTGATGTGGTATTGTTACAACTCAAAGCTGTGTTTTCACTATTCTGATACACTGTCTGCTTTGCTAATACTTCTTTATGGGTTCTCCCCCCTCCCCAATGAATTTTTTTTTCTAGTTTTTCCCATTTATTGTCAAGACTACCTTTATTTAACTGTGCTTTCCTGTGCTTAGGCCAATATTGCTGCCACCTGCTGGTATTCTTTTGTTTAAAAGTCTCTCCCCTATAAATAAAAGAAAGCTGGTCACTTGAAATGCTCCTCCCCTGGGCTAATTTCCTTCAGTCTACTGATGAGAGATTTTGCAAGCACTTGTAAAATGCAATTTCTCATAGAACTTGGCTTGCTTGTCATTTCACTTATGGAATCTAAAAACTCCCTAAAACCCTTATACAGAAGTCTCAAAGTTCCTGCAGAAGGCAGCACTAGGCCTTTACACTAATTCCAGTGACTTGCTGGAAACTTTGCAAAGCTTTAGCCTAAATTTTAGTCAAGTTGTAAAAGTTATTGCCTTAAATAAATTCCAGAATCCAAATACTTTGTGCTAGGTAATCACAAACTTTTTTTTTTTTTTTTAAAGGTTACTTTTAATCTAAGCCACTTTATAACATTTCAGGTGGATAGCATGTATGAAATTTGAATATTGGCCCTGAGATGGGCATTTTCCAACTTTGTGAGGGATCATCAATACCCTTAATTATGCATACCTTTTTAAAGGACAAAAATATTTTGCATTAGTGACAGAAGTAAAAATGACTGGCTTTCACACTGGACTAAGAGTTGGACACTTACAAACTCTAATCCTTGCTCTATTACTGACTTACTGTGGGATTTAGCCAATGAGTGATACCACCCTCCTCCCCATTAATTTAAAGTTAGTAATTCACAGTACACTAAGAGGCTGTCACACTGGGGATTAGTAGACTCCAATGGTGTTTATCTGCCTTAAAGTCAATACTTTGAGTGTATGCAGCTGTAGACACTAATAGCAGAGTTTACCACAATCTTCAGGTATGAGACTTGGTATTAAGTTTTATGCAATAATTGAGCCATTAGATGAAATAATTACAACTTTTAAAGGTATTACAATTTTAAATCTGAGCCTTGGGCAGCTGCTTGTTCCAGTAGGCTAATGTCCCAGTATTCAGTCACTCTGCTGCTGATAAACAGTTATCAGCAACCTTTAATGAGGTACGTCTAACGTAAGTTGCATTTGAGCTCAAACTGGGGGAGGGGGTGGGAAATACTGCCTGTGGGCCAGATTTGGCCCACCAAGGGATTTTGTCCGGCTCACAGTGGGTTGGTTCTTCAGCCCTGCCTGTTATGGCCCCAGCTTAATTTACAAGAATGTATGTTAGCAGGGAGGGTCAGGTCTAATAACTGCCACTTCAGCAGAAAGTTAGGGCTTGTTGTACAGGTGATGCTTCTGCTTTGGTCCCACTTTGTGCTCAAGGGGAAGAGTGGAAACCATTCTTTCCCTTAAGAGTGGAGATATGGAGGAATTCTTGCTGTGTGAGAACAGTAAGTGCAGTTTGCAGGAAGATTAAAACTATAGCCAGAGCCACTGAAAAATGAACAAGAGTAGCAGCTGGCATCCCTAACTTACAATTGTTATTCTTGCTTTAAATGCAGCTTTAGCACATTACAACCACAACAGGACTTGAGGTAAAAACAAATTTTAAGTGTTAAAATGAAGTCTTACCTCAGTGTCTCATGTCCAGTCATATCCTCCACACATTTCACCTTCGTTTTTTTAAAGATCCTTGGCTTGCTGTAGCTTAGCTGTCAGTCTTCATTGATCTGTCCGTGCTTTACCAATACCAATCTTTCTTCAAACAACCTTTCTCCTCATTGCATGGTTTACTGATTTATTTTTTTTTATTCTTTCCTACTGCTCTGACTTTTTTTTTTTCCCTCAGAAGTGTTTTGGGATACTTTAGATGATGTAAAAAAAATTGACCTGCATTGTACAAAGATACAATTGTCCTCTTTGACAGAAATATCAGTCCTCTTTCTAAAATGGTAGATATCACCTATCCTTCAGATGATAGGTGTAGCTTCCCTTACAAGTCTTGAGAGTTTAGAAATATTCTTTTCCCTACAACTTGCACAGAAAGCAATGGGAAACTTAAAAAAAAGAGTTGTATGCTTACAGTAGAAGAGTTCCTATAGGGTAATTCTTGACACTTGGTTGCAGTGGTAGATGCTGGAATAATCTTTCCTCATTTCTCTCACAGATTTCCTTTGAATTTCGGTCACTCCTACACTCACAGCTTGTTACACTGTTTTTTGATGAAGTGGTTAAGAAGATGGTAGCTGCCTTTGAAAAAAGATCATCCAAACTCCATGGTCCAGAAACCAGTATACCTCAAGAGTTTATGCTTCATGAAGTTCACCACACATAAAAAGAACTACTAGCCCGTCTATCTTTATTGTAAACTAGTTTTGTAAACTTTATTTATAAGAGAGGTGCTTTTCTCCTTTTGTGGGCATCTGTCAGCTTAGTGTATCATATTACTGTACAAAACATGCACATATGCATCCTGATGTAAATAGAATATTCAAGCTTCAATCAAGTGCAATTTAAGGTGTTAAGTGTAAAAACTGAAGGGCAGCTAGTATAACCTAGCCAACCATAATAGCCTTCCTTTTTCTGCCAAGCAGTTTCATTGTACAGATCATAACAAAACTTCGCTTTCTCTAAACTTTTTTTGCGGTGCTTGTTAATATATTATTCAAATTTAAGTTATTAGTAGTTAAAGCCTGTACATTTGTAACAATGTATTGGTATCAACCTGAACAAAGTCTGGCAATGTTAAAGGATAGTTCTCTTAAGAGAGATCTTGCTCCTTTACTGTCAGTAAGGAATGCACTATTACCTTTTTTCAATATTTTAACTGACAGTGCTCTAGTGGGAAAGGGAGGTTGAGTCATAGTTACTAATGCAGTTGTATATACTGACTACTTATCTGCAGGGCAGTAAGCCATCAGCATTGATCAGAAGTAAAACTGGTAAGCAAACTCCTTTAAATATAATGGCAAGTCTAAAAGGCACAATTACAAGGGGAATTTTAAATGTAGCACTTATAGCCACACTCAGCCTAAACTTTTATCAAACCATCTCAAGTAGGAAAAGAAGTGAAGGCCATGCTGCTTAAGTGCTGTGCACCTGGCAGCTGGAGTTTGAATGCTGTATGCTGTCCAAATCCTCTACTCCTACCTTCCAGCTGTAGTTAGATATGGGATGCCCTAACATTTGGTTGGCTAACTATGCATTCAAACAACAAAATCTGTTTTTCAGTAAACTCTGCTAAACAGAGTGTACTGGCACATTAGAACATCAGTGAGGGGTAAACACCATTTAATATTTAGAAAGGACACTTAAGAGTCTCAGCTGGGAAACACTGATTAGGGTTGGTAAATGTTTCTTCTCTGAAGTGGGAGAGACTTGAAATGGATTCTTCAGATGTAACAGGAGAGCAATTAGGTTTGCAAGCTTTTAATCAACTGAAAAAGCTATATCCCTTTTACTTGTTACAGTAAGTTGCCAGATTTATACTGAAAGCTTGTTTACATTAAGGCAGGTGGTATTTTAAAGCACAGTGGCATTTACTGTGTGGATACAATTAACCAAAGTGTATTTAAAGCCCAATGGGACTAGGGAATAAAAAGAAATCCCTTTTTGGGCAAAGTAGTAAAGGGAGCAAGAGGAGGGAAGATCACTGTTGCTATGTTAAGATTCTTCCAAAAATACCAGCTAAAAAACATCTGCACTTGAAATGTTCTAATTGTTTTTGGTGACACAAAACTGTTGGTCTCCAAGGTACTCATTTACTCAGCACTGGAAGAAGCAGATCTTGGAAAAGAAATTTCTTTTCTTAAAAGGAAACTCAGGAAGCATATCCTTTTCACATCAAGTGTTCGTGAAGATTTTTCCCCTACTGCTGCTAAAAGAATCTATCTTGTCTCCATGTATGAAACCAAGTAAATATTCCAGGAGTAGAGTAAAAGTTAATATACATAACTTACTTCTCCATTAGCACTTGAGTACATTTTTAAAAGTGATGCTAGCTGAGCCTGGATGCATTTCCTGCCAAAGTCTTATAGGACTACGGCTAGCCCTAAGAATAAGATGCTTCTTATTAGTGAGGGGAAGATTGTTTTGTAAAACATAGCTACCCCAAGTGTTCCAAGCACTGCTGTCAGAGTTCTCTGTTCATTAAGTCATGTTAACTACTATTTGTGTACAGGTGAATAAGGTGATACATTTCATAACTTTGAACAATCTATTTTATTAGATAAAGGTTGTCACATAATTGTATATTGGTCTACTTTGTACACTTTAAGTCTTCCACACCATGGCTTTTGAGTTTTCTCCAGTAGTGGCAAGCACCAGTAAATTCCAAAACAGAATTAAGTGCCTTGATTGGGTTTAAAGCAGAAAATTGTTGGTACAGGGATCTCGCACCCAATATCAGGAATGTACAAATGTCTTTATTCAAAAATACAGAATAAATTATCCGTAGGCATGGACAATGACTGTAAACAATTACATGTGTTTAACTGAAATCCAGTAACTGATGGTTACAGTGATTCTTTTAAAACACCAGCCTCACTTCAGTCACTATCCATCCTCTTTCACTGACCAGGTTTTCATCAAACTGTCAGCCTCAACCATCACAGTTCATGATACATTGTTATTCCAGGAATTAGAACATGCCACCTCCCATTCCTCCCCCCATTCCACCCATTCCTCCCATTGCAGCTTCCTTCTCCTCTTTAGGAATTTCTGTAACTACAGCTTCTGCTGTTGATAAAAGGGAAGCAACACCTGCAGCATCCATCAGAGCAGTTCTTACGACCTAAAAATATGAAAGAAAAATTTAATGCCAATTTCCCTAACAATGAAGTATGTCTGAAAGTATTTTGCAATGAACAAAGATACTATTTACCTTCGTTGGGTCAATGATTCCTTTCTCAACCATATTCACAAAATCACCAAGCATAGCATCATAGCCAATTTCTGGCAGGCTCTGCATGATTTTTTCAACTATCAGTGATCCTTCAACACCTGCATTCTTAGCAATAGTCATTGCTGGAATTTTCAGTGTTCTCTTAATGATGTCTATGCCTTAAAAAAAATAAAAATCAACACTTAGTATTCTACAGCAGACCCACACATTTTACTGCCATCTCAGATTCACCATTTTTCCTGATTTTCAAGATGAATTAAAAAAAAACAAAAAACACAAACTCCTGCCTCCCCCCAGGAAAATATTAAGATAGTGACCTAACTCCTGGCAACTGAAGCATCATTTTTATTTTCTACAGGAATAGGACTTAATACTCCATGCTCAAACCATGGCACATGTATGACAAATTACAATTCAGAAACAAAGCACGCTATCAGATTTGATTCCTAATGAAACATTCTTTACTTCTAAACATTATTATATTAAACAGTGGTTATTTCATCAATGGTTTTAGAAGTCAAGTTTTAAACAGCTGATTTCCTGCAGGCTGGTCCACAAAAAATGTTTCTTTAATGCATTAATAGAAAACTGAATATGTTAAGCAAAAACAGTGATAAGCCTAAAAGAACAAATAGACTTAAATCACATGTACTGTGATTTTTACAGGTTAGAATAGAGCTTAAGGAATGTATTAGTGCATCAAATTGAACCTAATTTATTTTGCTTACCAATTCTTTGATCTTCATTGACTGGAGTTATAGCATCTAGTGCTGGGATGCATCGAAGTAATGCACAACCACCTCCTGGGACTATGCCTTCCTCTACAGCAGCACGAGTAGCGTTCAGCGCATCAGTTACTCTATCTTTTTTCTCATTCACTTCAACATCACTTGTGCCGCCAACCTAAAGCAAAAAAAATAAAGTTGTGTAAAATGCTGCAGATTCCAGAAGTCCTGAAGACCACTTCGCCAATAGATTTCTCCATCTAAATATTAAAAAGCAGCCAATCAAAATTTTAAGTTTTAGGATTTATTCAGACAGTGCTTTATGTGCATGGTGCCTCCATTATGTACCAAGCAGTTTCTATTTAACAACTTTACACAGAAGTCTGCGATGTCCCTAGCCCCTAAACCTTGAGAATAAGCCCAACTCAGCACCTTAACCAAGGCCATCACAAAGCTAAATAAAATACACTTCTGGCATATACACATTATGTTACCATATAAAGGATTTCCCCCCTTCCAAGCTCCCTAAAACCCACCTCGGGGACACTTTTGGAGGACCCTCAGATTGTGGTAAATTAAGTGCTTACACTTGACTACTTGTTAGAATCAAGTTTTTTTAATGTTCACTTGTATGTGACCAAAGAGGCACCAGTCCTGCACTTAAAAGACTGAGGCATTATGGTAAATTGCAAGCCTTCAAGGAACCAAATATATCACCATCAGCCAAAAAATGCTAATAAAAGTATTAAAGACTACTGTTTATTTGGTAAACACCGGAAGAAAGATGTTTAATTCCTCACCTTTAGTACTGCTACTCCATCAGAGAGTTTGGCCAGTCGTTCATTCAATTTCTCCTTCTCATATTCACTTGTAGTAACTTCTAACTGTTCAGCGATTTCTAGAATACGTTTTTCAATTTGAGCCTTTTCTCCCTTTCCTTTCAGGAACATAGAATCATCTTTTGTCACAATGACCTCTCCAACCTTGCCAAAGTCATGAGCCTGAATATCTTCTATATTCAGGTTTAAACCCTCTTCTCCGAATACCTGAAATATTACATAAGGGGCTTGGAATCCAAGGTCTTCACACATAAAGGTACTAACCAAAAATTGCTAACAGAAAATAGTAGAACAATTCCACAATAAAAAATTCACCATCAGATGCCTAAACTGTTACAGACAAAAACTGGGCAGTTTTGAAGAGGGGTATGATTTTAGTAGTACAGGAAATGCTTTGTTATCTGGCACCATGGGGAATGGGGGATGCCGAATAACCAAATATACCCATTACCCGAGGCCTGAACAGGTGCCTTTGCCAGCAGGCACTTCCAGTTTTGCTTTTGCCATGTCAACCAGCATGCCAGTTAATGGAGCATGCAGGTTTGTAAGGTGCTGGATAACATAGCTTTTGCTGTACTACAATATTTTAGTAGTACTGAAAGCTTTCACATTTTTCAGACACCAGGTTTGACAGCTGTTTACAAGGACATATCAGGCATCAAGTAGTTACCCTGTCTTATCTCAAGCTATTTCCAAAGCCTTTTCTTTTCTTTACATTGGGACAAGGAAATGGAAAAAAAAATACTTGTCTGCTTGAAGCAGGTGAAAAAACCCCCTGAACTAGCTGCAATGCATTCAAGGTTCACAAGTTAAATCCTGCTTGCCAACTCTTTACACTTAGTCTCTTTAGACTTAACAGAGGAAGATGCTGGTGTATTCTCACTGTTTAAACTTCAAACTCAAATATCTGGCAATAATTATAATAGGGAAAATAATCTTGAACTTCTTAGGCTTTATTCACTCAGACATGTTTCTTCTTTTCCACCCAGTTACTACTGATTTCAAGGGAGTCGAGTCAGTTAAGAAAAAAAGAGAGACTAACAATTAATTGCATTGTGAATACCAAACAAATAAAAAAAATATTAGAAATCAAACATTCAGGTGACATTTAAGAGGTGTTTGAATATTAAGGGTCTCAAATGTAGCTGCAGAACAATTCAGACAGTAGCAGCAGAACCAGTCTTTCACAGCTCCCTTTCAGATACTTCTCATTTGAGGAGCTATAACCCAAGAACAAAGAGGTTACATACCCAACCCATCACTCAGACTACCAAACAGCACCAAATATAAGGCAGACACATGGCAATTAAACATCTACCACGCCATTCAATGACATCCAACCTGCATCAACTGTGAACCCGTGACTTAGATAACTCAGTAATGAACTTTGCATATCCATCACTTCCATTCACTAAGCTAACAAATAAATGAATGAAAGTAGATGGGGGGGTTGGGAAACGGCAACACAATTAAAATAGCACTTGGTGAGACCATTAAATTCATATACATTTTTCTATTCTCACAGTGTACTTACAGTGCCACCCGTAGCAATTGCCATATCTTTAAGCTGGTTCTTTCTATTGTCTCCAAAACCTGGTGCTTTTACAGCAACAACCTGAAGGCCAACCTTTAGTCTGGAAAGAGTTAATGCAGAACATCAAGATTCTACTGGTGTTAAATTAGGTTGTATGACCATGTTCTTTGATTAACTGTTTGGGTTTCAGAATCACCTGAGCTGACCACAGACAAGAGTTACTGTTCCCCTAGGTATTACTTAGGGCACTGGTGCTCAAACCCAGCATATGGGTCAGATCTGACCCCCAGCATTGTGTCGTCTGGTTCCTGGGGCAACCCTTGGGTTCTGTAGCAAGTTCCACAGGCCCTGCCCATTGGATTCAGCATGCAGGGCAGCACAGGGCTCAGTTCCAGCATGCAGACCACTTTTGTGCCACTCACATGGCCTGTGGGGCCAAAATGCTGAGCACCACTTAGAGCATAATCTAAATAAAAATGAATGCAACCCTGTTGAAAAGCCAACATGCACTTTTGACCTTGGTGTTCTTTGATGTAAGCAGTCTAATCCAGAAATACCCATTATTTTAAAAGGATAAAGGAACAGCTGGCTAAGTGACAAAGCTATTGCAAGGCTTACCTGTTTAAGACTAGAGTACTGAGAGCCTCACCATCAACATCTTCAGCAACTATGACTAAAGGTTTACGGTGAGCATTGGCAATTTCAAGAGCTGGAACAATGGACTGAACACTGGAAATTTTCTTCTCACTTATTAAAACATAAGCATCCTGGAATTCACATTTCTGTCCTGCAGAGGCAATACACACTGTGTGAACCACCTTTTATTGAAAGCATATATGAAGTTACACTTTGCACCCCAAATTCCAATCAAATTTAGCCTTCATACTCTATGGTTTTTTTTGCCGAGACATGTTGCCTTATGCTCTGCCTCTCAAAAATATTGCACAATTGATAGACAAACTGGTTTGCATGCTGTTTAAGTTACAAGCAAGTTAAATTACAACTGCACCAAAAAGCTGTATTAATTTAATTTACATTTGGTGTCAAACCAGAACAAAAATAAACAGCTAGGCACTTCGGCACATTCCTGCATATACAATTGAGAATTCTTGAAGCTACTCAACACTTCATCTTGGAGTAAAAGGAAAGTAGATATCAAGATCCTTTACCATTTTGAAAATCTCTTCTTTGGAAAGTAGTTCTTTTATACTCCTGTAATAAGAGTCCCAGTGTTTCTCAAGCCCATGGATTGCAACCCAAAATGGATCATGAGAATATGAAAGGGTCATGAACAAGTTTTAAAAAAATGGATCAGCAAACAAACATGGGAAACCATGGCTTTTCCCTTGCAGGCTGTCAGGAGTTCCAGCCTGTGAGGGGCTGCTTGGGGACCCCCATGCTCCCCACCCTGCCCCACACACTGGGGAACTGGGGTCTGGAGGCAGCAAGCCAGGAGTGAGGGGTTGGGACTGGCCAATATTGACAAATGGGTTCTGGTACAAAAAAAGGTTAAGAACCACTGAACTAGACAAAGTGAACTTGTATCTTGCATATCAAGTAACATTTTTATTCAGTTTAACTGTAAGTGATGGCAGCATCTCAGATTTCAATTCCAATCTCATTCTGTCTATACTGTGATCTGAAATAACACCATTCTGCTTACAAGACAACCAATACTTCTTTTAACACCTGCTAGTTTAACTGTGTATTCAGCCTGCGATTAGAAAAGCAAGCTTTATTTTCTGGCTATGCAGCAGGAATAATAAGGTGTTATAGTCAGAATGGAATCTAGTTCATGCTTCCTTTTGCGAATGCAAAAATCAGAACAGTGAGCAAAGGTAAACACCAGAAAAACAGACAACTCTCAATGCACACACATTATCTAAATTAAATCTGCACCAATTTTAGTTAGCATTTGACACCAAATTCACTTGACTTGAACTATAGGATTTTTTTTTTGCCATTTTCTGCATGCAGAGCAATACAGAAATTCATCAATGATACCTTTTGCTAACTCACCTTTAGCTGTATTAATGAAGTATGGAGAGATGTAACCTCTGTCAAACTTCATGCCTTCAATGATTTCCAACTCATCGTTCAGAGTTTTTCCATCCTGTTAAATGCAATAAAAAACATTACATCTATAATTTTGGTGGTAAACAAAATGCCTCTGTGCCTATTTGTAACACACTAATCATTACGAAATTAGCTTCTATTCCACCTCCACTGCAAATGAGTTCATGAGGTTCTCTGAGCCCTAGAGATGCACCAGTATATTAGTGCCATATTGGGCCAGCACCAATAAAATGAAAATTAACATTATCAGCTTTTTTTGGCCAACGTAGCCGATAGTGTCGCTGATAAATATAATATCAGCACACATGCATGTGCATGTGGCCAGGAGTGCAGCAGCCTGCAGAGAAGTCTGTGGAAGAGGAAGCGGTATGGGGGGTGGGGTGATCAGATCAGGGCCCCCACGGTGAAGGAAGGAGCAGGGCAGGGGCACTGCCCAGCCAAAGCAGTGAATGGAACCCAGTGCCAGGCTGGAGAGTGGGATAGAGCCATGAGCAGCTTGACTAAGGGGCACGGGGCTCCCTGGGGAGGCATATACCACCCCGATTTGCACGCAGGGTGGATATAGGCTGCCTGCTATGGGCTTGGGGCTCTTTCCCTCAAGAGCCTGTGCCAGCTGCATGCCCCCTGTCCACCAGTGGGGGCAAGTTGCGCTCCCTGCTGCCATGCAGGCAGGAGACATGTGGCCAGTGCAGGGCTCAGGAGGGAAAGGCAGCAGGGCAGAGAGCCCTGTGCCCATATCTGCCCTCACCCCGCTCAGCTCCCCACCCCCGGTCCCGTTTGCTGCCCTGGCTGAGAAGCACCCTCTGCCCCACCATGGGGGACCTTGATCTGTCCCCCACAATACCCCTTCCCCTCCACAGACTTGTCTGCAGGGAGCTGCTCTCCACACTACACAGCTGCATTCTTGTAAATATCAGTTACTGGATTGGCACTGGCTGATACGCCTGGTTAATAATCAGCTATTGGTATCAGCCAAGAAAGTCTTTAGACTTTTCTAAAAAGGTTACATGAATATATCGTCTCAAACAGTATAAAGGAAAAGTAATACGCCCTATTTCATGATGATCTCTAATCCTTAACATATCTTCAAGTTATCTTTATTTTTTAAAAAAGCATCTTAACCAAAAAAATATAATCAAATAATACAATAAAATTTAAAAATCAGATTTTTATTAAAAAATTCAGGTTTTTTTATTTTTTAAAAAAGAAATAGTTGATTTTTAATCTACCCTGATCAGCAGGGAGGCAAAAACAGAAGTTTTAAATATGGTGTGGTTTTTGCCTTCGGCCACTGATTGGCCAAGGTCCCCTGGCAGCCCCGCTACTTCCTGCTGACCAGCCAGGAAGCAAAAACTGTACCATATTTAAAACAGCAGTTTTTGCCTCGCTACTGATTGTGAGCAAGCAGCAGGGCCCTTCTCCCAGTCAGTGGCAGGGTGGCGCACAGAGGAAACTGCAAGATTAAAGGAAGTGTCATGCAGCACATTTCAGCTGCAATTTCAGTTGGTCTCCAACTATAATCATTCTAGACAAGCTCTAGTGAGTGCAATACATAGTGCATGTGAAAACGATGCATCAGTGCTAGCCTGCGGGCCAGATCAGGACATCTGGTGGCAAGGGAGCCAGGGTAATTAATACTGCCACCCCTCTTCCACTGCCTAACTCCCAAGCTCAGCACAGCCACTTCTTGGCTGGGCCATGTCCCCCCCTCTCCATGCGGTCAGTTCCAGGCCAAACTAACTCCTATGTGGCTGGACCCAGCCTGCAGGCAGACTTGGCACTGCCCATCCAGCCTGCAGGGAAAAAAATGTTGAGCACCACTATGCTATACCATAAAGGAGCCTATAACGCGTGCCAAGTTCAGACTTTAAATTAGAACCATTTTAAATCACAAGCAACGGATGCATATACTGCTGTTTATTTAGACCTCCAGTAAACCTTTATGCAACTTAAATTTATTTCAGAAAATGCAAGAACTTTTCACCAGGCACAACAAAAGTTATGCTTACCTTAACTGTGATAACTCCCTTCCGTCCAACTTTTTTCATGGCATCAGAGATTATGTTGCCAATTTCTTGGTCCCCATTTGCTGAGATTGTGGCAACCTGCAATGGTATACAGTCATTTTTTTCCTCAATTACCCTTGAGCAGCTGTCTAAAGAAGCATATACAACAGTAAGCCATGTCTTCCCCTGTAAGTCTAACAGAAGTAACTACCACAGTAAGCCATAAATATCAGTACTCAAAATAGTCTGGCTGGCTCCCATTAGCATGCCTTTACTTGCGACTGTAATAATATTCCATCCAACAGAAAAAATTAATAAACAAGGATTACCTGTGCAATTTCTTCTGGAGTTGTAACAGGTTTAGATAGTTTCTTTAATTCAGCTATGACAGCATCAACTGCTAGCATCACACCTGATAGAAGAATGAATAGATAAACCTTATTAAATAACTATTTACGTGGTACAGAATAGCACTGAACAAGGTTTGAAATTCAAACACAAAACCTGTGCCTCTTTGCAAGTCACACAGTACAAAGTTCTGTGTGCTCCATATATATATAAAGCTTATATAAAAATATATATATATAAAGCTTTTTTGGCCAAGTATAAACCAAAATTGTCCAAGGCCGAATGCATAAAAACAAGAGACTTTCCCCAAAAGTTACAAACAGATATTAACAAACCCAGGAGTTCATACACTTTTTTAAATATTCGATAGAAAACATGCAGAAGCATCAGGAAAGGAGAGGCAGAGATAGCTTTGATACTACTTAAGGCAAAGTCAAACAGACTAAAGGGAGCATTCTGTTCACATAACAGTATATTAACTTTTATACAAGTTACACACTAAAAAGTATTAGGCTTATTAGAAAACTGAATTAATAAACGGCAATTTACTAAAAGTATTACTATGATCTAACAAGGCGAGAACACACACCTATATTGCCAATTACTTTTTTTTATATACATAAAAAGTATTGAGCATTTATAGATGTGCTCCAGGAGGGGCGGGGAGGCTTTAATTACAGTGGCTCTGACAGCTGCTCTAATTAAAGTACCTGAAGCATCACGTGTATCAGCATCCCTGCGTTGAAAAAATGGCAGCAAGGGCAGTTTAACTAAGGCTCGAATGGCCCCACCACCAGTTTTCAGTGCAGGGATGTTGATACCCATGATGCTGGAGTCTGCTGGAGCATGGCAATTACCATCTTCCAGCAGACTGGGTTACTCAAGTCTACTGCAACCCCAAGCAGAGGCAAGCTAGCTGAAACCCAGACACATTCAGTGAGACAGGAAAAAAGAAAATGGTGACTGCTAACAACATTTCTTACCTCTCCTGATTTCCACCGGATTAGCTCCTTTGCTGATCTTCTCAAAGCCCTCCTTTGCAATGGCACGTGCAAGGACTGTTGCAGTAGTGGTACCATCTCCTGCTTCTTCATTTGTGTTGTTGGCAACATCTTGCACTAGCCTGGCTCCAATATTTTTATATTTGTCTTTCAAATCAATTGCTTTGGCTACTGTCACACCATCTTTTGTCACCTTCGGACTTCCCCAGCTTTGCTCAATAATAACAGTTCTTCCCTATATTGATGCAAGCAAAAATATTAAGTCTCTGACATCAAGCAGCAAAGATGAAAGATCTATAAAGAATTATCAGCTGAACCAAATTAACAGGTAACAGAAAAGGAGTATTACACAGACACCTCACCCCTTCTGCACGTGCTCAGGCATGTTACTGCTGGACTGCTGGGAAACAAAAAAAACTACAGGGATCTGGGTTTTCCATTTGTGATGGAAAATGTGTGTTTTCTCCTTTAAAGGAGAAAAACAGGGGGGCGGGAACTATGGGTTTTGTGCACACTTGGACATGACAGATAGGCAGTATGGTAGAGAACAGCTCCCTCCAAGTTAAATCTATGGGGGTGGGGGGAACAAGGCAGAATGCGTGGGGCGAGAGAAGAGAGGCAATGTGCCCCCTCTCTAAATAACTGTGCCCAGAGGAGCGTGGGGATGCAGCTGGGCTAGACCAGCTCTGGATAGGAGCCATCTTCATGACTGTGCAGGAGGGAGCACCAAGCTACCAAGGTGAGCCACCCCCTGCCTGCCCAGGAGCCGCATGGAACACAGTTCCATGCTACTGCACACTTCACCTTGGCAGCCATGGCAGGACCACACTTCGTCCTGTGCTGGGTCCCACCTGCTAGGGTGCAGAAACTGCTTCTGCCCAGAGTTCATCCAGCCCAGCTTGAGCCCTGCACACTGCTGCAGGAGCAGAAATCTAGCACCCCCTTCAATACATTACCCCCACCCCACATCGCCGGAGCCCACCCTCCCCTTCACACACTGAGGGGCTGGGGCTTAGGGACAGCAGGTCAAGAGTGAGGGTCACTTGCAGGGCCAAGGGGCAGCAGCACAGGCAGGGCATTGGCATATTGGGGCTGCTCACAGCCA